GTACGCACTCTGTCGCATACAAGTCAGACAAGTCAGGCCTGGACAAGCCATATACGCCAATCAGCCCGAGTATGAGGAAGCTCCCACCAAACATACAGTCGAAATCAATCCAGATGCCTCCCCATAGGAACTTGAGATCGGCGGCCAGCAACATTTCTTGGAGCGTCCAGACCCGGCTAAACCAGCGAATGCCGACCAAGAAATCCACGACGTTAATGGCTTCTTCGCGAGTGGAATGACGTTCCAATATTCTGGTAATCATTCGGGCCCAGAACCGTTCTGCATCTAGCGCAGTCATTAATCTGGCTTCCGCGGGAGCCATTCGCAGCCCACCCAGCTTCTCCATTACCTTGTTTGCATTGAGTTGCGGCTCTCCCAACCATACAATGACATCCACGGCATTCTGGAAGATCCGAACCATCTGGGCGACCTGAGAGTTTCTCTCAGCAGTGTGTTCTTGGTTGATGCAGATCGAATCAATCCAGACAGGGTCAGTCACTCTAACTTCCCTCAGAGATCGAAGTGCGTTCGAGAGATTAAGCCTGACAGCTTTGCGCACGCCGTTCAACACCAACCATTCCGACTCGATGGTCCATTGAGGCCCTGTATCTTCATGCCGGGGACCATCCCACGTGTATGAGAGGCATCGGTAAGCGGGTGTATCATTGAGGTCGACGACTCGAAGCTCGCCGTCCACAATCTGCAACAAAGAATCGCTGGGTTTGATCTGAAGCAGTCTGATACAATCCGCCGATGGAAGAGAACGGTAGTGCGGTATTGACATGGCGACAGCAAACTTTGGTGACACTTTAGAGAAGCCTCTGAAGATGGAGGACGATATTCATGGTACGAAAAGCATGATGTCGCGGGTGAAATTGGTTGCCCGTCAGGCAGCGTACTTTGAAATGGCATGCGACTGCGTGAGCCATGTTGGTTCAGGCGGCGCTAATTTCTACCCTCTGATTCGTTCAGAGTCTCAATCGCAGAAGAGAAGACAGGGGGCAAAGGCCGGAAACGCGTACATTTTTGTCTGACGCCTGGTTTTGTTGTACACAGCGGTCACTTTTGTCATGCAAGTCTATAAACTCTCACCGAGGTGGATCATGAAAAGATGGTAATCAAACCCCAAACAAGCAATCACTTCAACGAGTCAACAACCAAAAAATAAACCTGCATGTTTATGTTTCAGATCCGAGTGAAGTTGCAGTTGTCCATCTGTCCCCTGAATGTGGTATCGTTGTTCAAACCCACACTCCCGCTCATAATGCGTCAGGCTATCGTGGCCAGTCGTCAGACAAGGGGAGAAAAAAGGCCTCCTCACACCTCTTCCCTCTTACCCTGCACCGTAACCCTCTCCACTCCAACATCACTCTCCGTCCCATCCGAGTTCTCAATTACCTCCTGCACCTCCTCCTCCCCGCCCGTGTTCCAGTTCCCAAAGACCGCAAGCAGCGTAAACGGGATCGTGACGCCCCACAGCGTGAACCCCAGGATCATCTGGTTCTTGTTCGGCCAGTGCGTCGCGCCCACCGCATACGCGATCGTGCTCCCGATGCTCTCCCACGAGCGCAGGATGCCCGTCGTGCGCGCGATGTCGCCGTCGCCCTGCGCGCCCTTGATCTCGGCCATGAGCCAGTAGATGTACGTCTGCAGCATCTCGTAGAAGAACTTGAAGAACATGTACACCGTGAAGGCGGAGTTGAAGAAGGCGCCGTCCCCGAGGTCGAAGGACGGCGGATCCGCCATGGAGGAGAGGCGCGTCTCGATGACGGCGTTCCAGATCCAGGCGGCGGTGACGAAGACGAGGATGACGAGGTAGACGGCCTTGGACTTGGCGGAGCGCTCGAGGGACTTGACGTCGAGGATGGCGCCGGTGATGAGGTTGGCGGCGGCGCCGACGACGGCTGTGAGAAAGGAGGCGAGTGCGCGGGAGCGGACGGTGAAGTAGGCTGTGCAGATTCCGTCAGTGGTTGAGATGGACATGTAATAGAGATGGAAACCCACTTGTGAGGTAGTTTCCTTGGTACGTGGTGCCAAACTGCCCTGCCAGGAAGACGGGGATGAGCAGCAGCATGTACTTGTTCCTCAGCTGCTTCCAGATGGCGCGGGCTTCGGTGGCGAAGTTGGTCTGCTTCATGTACGGAATCTTCGTGCCGTCTGTTCTGACGACCTTTTGCGGCTGGGAGAGCAGCAGCGCGAAAGGCGCACCCAGAGATGAGATGGCAACAAGGCCCAGGTAGGTCGTGTAGGTGACCTTGCCCTTCTCAGATGTCTTGATGTTCAACGCCAGAGAGATTGCACCGCCGATGAGGGGGCCCATCTGGCGGATACCCATCCAGATACCAACATATCTGATGAATCGAGTTAGCAAAGGCTGTAAACTGTGGCTGTTCAGTATAAGAGCGGCAGACTCACCGGCCTCGCTTCTCTGCCTCGGGATACCCGACGGCTATGCTGGCCTCCGACGCCCAAAGTAAAGAGGCACCTATGCCGCACAAGGCCGCGCCGAGCAACAGAAACCACTCATTGCCGTAGCGGTTGTTGCAGTAGAGACCGGCTGCGTAGGGCGTGTAGAAGGCTGCGCCGATGAAGAGGGTCCACTTGGCTGTGAGCTTGTTCGTGACGCCGCCGGCTATGAAGCAGCCCACGGACATGAGTCCGTATGTGAGGGCATTCGCGGCATTGTTAAGGAACGGCTGTCCGGTGCGTTAGTGAATACGAACTCTTGAGGCTGGGACTGAATATCAAGAGCTGACCTTTGCGTTTCCTCCGGCCCCTAGGTTATTCAGCGCTGTCCAGATGCCTGGCTCGCAGAATGCCACGAGTCCGACGATGATGATTTGGAACAGACATGACCGGTAGAACTGGGCAAGCTTAGCGAGAGCCATCTTGAAGTGCTCTCGTTGATTATCTCACGTACAAGAAGCAAAGACAGTCACAGGCCACGTTGATCGATTCAATATGCAGGAAGTAGTCCAGTTTAAACCTCGAGCAGCAACGGCATTGAACGAGCACGCCATGACCCATCGGGAATGCGATTTTACAAAGATTTGCATCGATTTCGAGCAGCTCAGCAGAGATAACGAGAGCAGAGCACGCAATTGTTCGGAGTGGACACGGCGGGTATACAATAATCGCATCAGAGGCCTCGAATTTCGCATCCCCCTGATGAAGCGTGGGATCGGAGGTGGACGTGAACACGCACGCGAAATGTTAGCCTCAATACTGAGATCCACTTCTACCTGCCGAGAGATATGATAAGATCAATTGGCCAACTGCATTGTTCTGCAGGAGAAGGATTTGGGGGCGATTGTCTCTTAGGGAAGAAACGGTCAGGGTTCGGGATCACGCAATGCCCCACGTGGATGGTGTTGAATATCTCCGAAGGCTAAGGCAGGTTGACGTTCTTACCGCCTCCCATTCGGTTGAAAAGCCATCACTTATAGTGAGCAATCGGATTTGCTGTCCGGAAACCTTGAAAATCATCAGGCAGGGATACGCTCCTACCAAACAATCTCGCCACGTGCTGCCGGACACGGCTATTTGGGTGGTGTGTGACTAACTGACGGTTTGAGTCTTTGGGAACTTCGACATTTGCAATGACAGCGACCGTTGTAACTAACGAATGTTCGTGAAGAGCGAAATCTTACTGGGTCTCGAAATGATGGCTAGCCCTTGTTAGGGGCGTTGAGGTGATGATATGGATAGTGAAAGCTAGCTTTCATGCACGTCTCTAAGATTTGCAACACGGGTCCTTTAAGATGGGAAGCTCGGTACATGTACTATATACTTTCCATGTAAGTACTTACATGGTATTAGCCATGGCGTACTGACGAATGAGTTTCGAGTCTAGCTGAAGAATGCGTTTCTGTTTCTACAGCAAAGTCAAAGGCATTAAGTTACCATTAGACGCAACTCGTAGTTAGATAGAAACTGTAGGATAAGATTTGCCTGCATAGTGCTATCAAACTTCATATCAAAAGCCAAAAGCAATTCTCCGATGTAAAGAAGCTCATCTCCACAGCCTCACGGGCCGGGTTCCGTTGAACACACGGGGAGGTCTTCGGGAACCGCCTTCCAAATGTGGAGTCTTCGTGCCGAAAATCTTCGGGACGTGGCGCCCCACGCCCGTACGGTACCGTTCCGTTGGTTTACGTGGCCCGTTTGGGGGGTTTAAACTCAGACTTCCCACGCGCAGCCGTGGAATCCATGGAATATGCTCACCCACACACATCTCGCAGTAGACCATATCGCCGAGAAATCCAGGGGTATCGGATTGATTCCGTCGGAAGCGCCTCACTTCGAAATTAGAAACAACTTCTCATCCAGTAACCCATCCGAGGAAACAAGAAGAAGCAGCAAACGCTTTTGTTTCGTTTCTTGCTATCGGCCCTATTTGATAATCATCCCGTCGTCTGTTCGATCATCCCATATCTCTTGCAAGCAAAGCATCCCCATCCAGCTATCTTAGTCTCGATATTCTCACCTCACCACCCACACTCGCCTTGCGCCAAGACAGCAATCTTCATTCAACGGGGCATCCCCCGATCTTTACAAAAAAGAAAAAAAGAAAAAAAGGAAAAAAAAAGAAGAAAAGACCGAAACAAAATGCCGCCCTTCCAAATCCGCCCCTGCACCCTAGCAGATGGGCCCTCCCTCGCCCGCAACAACATGTCCGCCTTCTGAACGGACCCGAACTGGATACTTCTCTGGCCCAAGCACATCACGCTCGACTTCCTGATCGAGCAGGCGGCTAAGCGGCTGCCGAACAACCTCCTCCGCGACCGCGAGGGCCTGCGCCACGAGGTCGCCGTCGACCCCGCCACCGGCGCGCTGCTCGGCTACGCCCGCTGGGGCTCCCCGCCGCCAAGAAATCGACCCCGGGCCCGGACGGCAGCAGCCGGCCCGAGTGGGCCGCGGCGCAGATCCCGGACGTTAGCGCGGAGGAGAGGAAGGCGCTGAAGGAGAGGGCGGACGGGGCGTGGTGGGAGCCGATTGACATGGAAGGCATCGACGATGAGAGTGTCAAGGTTAAGGAGCGCATACTGACGGAGAAGCCTTATCTTAGTGAGTCTCGTCTTTGGCTTGGCTGGAGTCTTTTTTAATTCATTTCGAGGTCTCGACTATCTCGCTGTGCACCCGGAAAATAAGGGTCAAGGCATCGCTACAACTTTAGTAGAAAGCGGTAGCAGGCAGGCTGAGAAAATGGGGATTGATGTCTTCATCCTTGCCTTCCAGGCGGGTTTGAACCTGTACCTGAGACTCGGCTTCAAGGAGGTCGAGCGCATCGTTCAAGATGACTCCAAATGGGGTGGTAAGGGTGAGTATACAGTGTATCTGGTTACCTACGAGGTCAACAAGAGCAGTGGTTGAATATTCACCATGTGCCATCGATCGTTGAGAAACCAAGAAAATTCGAATTTGTACAATTTGTTCTTATACGCCACAGCTACTGATTACCCTAAAACCTAGCCTCGACCTTCTCCTCGGTGTCCTGCAGCGCCCAGTCGCTCTTCTTGGTCCTGCTCCTCACGCTCGCCGCCTGCTGCGCCGTGAACCCCTTGGCCTCCACGGCCGGGTTGTACCCGAGCTTGTTCACCTTCCCCACGGTGGCCGAATCGACCTTTGGCGCCTCCTTGCCGTCGGCGCGCTTGTAGACCGTCACGACGACGGCGCCGCCCAATCCAAGATTGTGCTGCAGCGCCGCCTTGGTCCGCGGCACGGCGCGGTTGTTCGCCCACCCGCGCAGGTGCCACACCAGCTCGGCGCACTGCGCGATGCCCGTCGCGCCGAGCGGGTGGCCCTTGGAGATGAGCCCGCCGGACGGGTTGACGACGTACTTGCCGCCGTACGTGATATCCCCGCGGCGGACCAGCTCGTGCGCCTTGCCGGGCTGCGCGAGACCGAGCGAGTCGAGGACGATCATCTCGTTAGCGGAGAAGCAGTCGTGCAGCTCGACGACCTGGACGTCGTTCTGCGTAACGCCGGCCTCGGTCAGGGCGGCCTTGACGGCGTGCTGCGTCATCTCGAAGCCCATGAGGTCGATGGCGGAGCGGGAGAAGAGCGAGGGGGCGTCGGTGGCGAGACACTGGCCCGCGACGAGGACGGCCTGGTCCTTGAGGTGGGGGCGCTCATCAAGAAAAGCCTGGGAGACGAGGACGGCCGCGGCGCCGCCGTCGGAGGTCGGGCAGCACTGCAGCTTGGTGAGGGGCGCGAAGATCTCGGGGGCCTTGAGGATCTGCTCCTGGGTGTAGACGTCCTGGAACTGGGAGTAGGGGTTGCGGGTGGAGTGCTCGTGGTTGATGCGGGCGATCTCGGCAAAGTCCTCGGGCTTGGCGCCGTGCTTCTCCATGTACTCGCGGCCGGCGTTGCCGAACATCTGGGCGGCGCCGGGGGAGTTCGTGATGCCGCGGGTCTCGGCCATCATCTTGACGGAGGTGCCGGTGGGGTTCTCGCGGTCGTTGAAGAAGCTCTGCAGGCTGCCGGGCATCATCTTCTCGAAGCCGACGACGAGGACGCAGTCGGCGGCGCCGGAGGAGACGAAGGTGCGGGCCATGGCGAGGCCGGTGCTGCCGGTGGAGCAGTTGTTGTTGACGTTGTAGATGGGGATGGAGGTCATGCCGAACTGGTAGAAGACGCGCTGGCCGCAGGTGCTGTCGCCGTAGCAGTAGCAGGCGACGCCCTGGTCGACGTCGTCGTAGTTGATCTGGGCGTCGAGCATGGCCTTGACGCCGGCCTCGAAGCCCAGCTCCGTGTAGTCGACCTTGCCGCGGGGCTTGATGAACTTTGTCATGCCGACGCCGAGGACGTAGCACGGCGCCTTTTCGCGTTTCTGTCGGGGGGCCATGTCTGCGGTTGGTGTGTTGATGTGTTGGTGATGTTTGATGTTCAATCCAAGTTCCGCTTCGTGTTTGAACAGAGGTGACAACGGTCAATGGAAAGAGGTAACAAGAGTTGGTGGGTTGATGTTGGAGATATATTCAAGCCGAGCCTATATGAAGTGATATGTCAAGTGACATGTGCTTCAATGAATGAAGTTGCAGCAGAAGGGAAGCTTTCGCCGCCCCCTCAGGACCCCGGCCGAGCCCCCGGGATGAGCTTCTCCAGGTTTTCCCCCCTTTGCTCCCCCCAAACGGCCCCAATTCCGCCATCCCGCAGCCGCCAAAGCAGTGGGAGCAGTGCTAAGGGACAGCTTCGATGCGGGGAAACAGCGTCTCGAAGCAGCACAATGCCGAGGCCCCGGGCGCCACAACGTCGAGCCGCAGCTTGCTGTCCCCTGTCTCTGTCTTGCTTAGAGGCCAATCAGGGGGCATGCCGAGGTAAATCGGCCCCGTAACAGGGGGTCTAGCTAAGGAATCTCCAGTGTTAGTGAGTGCCCCATGCGGTAACCTTCTCGTCGGTGCTGGGACGGAGCCATGACTTCACTGACTCGAAGCTGGTGATTCAGTGACATTCTCGCCTCGAAATCATCTGACTGCATTTATCAAGGGTTTGTCTAAGGAATGATTACTAACTAAAAAAAACATCTAAAGATTGACTCCATCGTGACAATCATCATCAACATCAACATCAATAAACACCCTACTCCATCTTCCCCTTCACCCACTCCTCGACACGCTGCTCAATCTCGGGAACATACAGCCATCTCATCTGGCCCTCTCCCTCCTCGAACCAGACCTCCCCCCGCCCAAGCTTCTCCATCTCCTGCGGCGGCAACCTCTTGTTGTTCAGCTTCTTCGTCAACACCACCAACTCCCCGAGCCTCTGCCTCCTCATCGCCTCCCAGAACCCAACCCCATCCGCCCACCCGATCCGACCGCCGCTCTCCTCCACCCTCTTCAGCACCAGCGCCAGACTCGCCGCATCCTCCAACGCCATCGACGCGCCCTGCCCCGTCGTCGGCGGAATCGCATGCGCCGCGTCCCCCAACACCAGCACCCTCCTCCCCTCTTCCGCCGACGACGTCCACCGCTCCAGCGGCGGCAGCATGTAAAACGGCCACATGTTCATCGTCTCGTCCCGGATCGCGCCCAGCGCAGACCTCACAATCCCAGGCCACCGCTCCTCGTCCCTCCGCAGCCGCGCCTTCAGCCCCTCCTTGTCCGCGAGCAGCTCCTCCCGCCCGCGCCCGGCCTGCGCCTCGTCGAACGGCACCTGCGTCCCCGCCAGCATCTCCCCGCCGTCCGGCCGCTGCGGCGCCAGCACAAACACCCCGTTCGCGCTCGCCACGCTCACGGGAAACTCGTACCCCTTGTCCGCCGGGATGCGCAGCTCCGCCGTCGGCACCGCGAACGTCAGCGCCGCGAGCCCGACATACCCCAGCTTCGCCTCGGGCGCGACGTGCGCCCTCCGCACCTTGGAGTGTATCCCGTCCGCGCCCACGAGTAAGCCCGCGCTCCGCCTCTCGCCGCCCTCAAACTCGAACTCCACGCCATCCCCCGTCTCCTCGGCGACCTTGACAAACCGCATCCCGTGCTCGATCCGCGCGCCGCGCTCCCTGCACGCGCCCGCCAGCAGCTCCACCAGCTCCTGCCGGAACACCCGTACGGCGCGGTACCCGAACTGCGCCATGCCGCCCATCGGGTACCGGTCGACCGTCTTCTCGTCGCGGTCCTTGTAGTAGACGTAGTCGAACGGGTACGCCTGCGCCAGCAGCGGCGTATAGAGGTCCAGCCCGTCGAGGATGCGCAGCGCGTTGGGGCAGAGCATCATCCCGCCGCCTGCGTGGTGCGGCAGAGGTATCTCTGGGCGCATCTCGTAGATTGTGGAGGGGATGGAGTGTGATGCCAGGGCGAGGGAGAGGGCCATGCCCGCGATGCCGCCGCCGATGATGGCGACTTCGTCTTTGGCGGAGGACATTTCGTTTGCGTGAGATATTCAGTGTGTGTGTGATCTCGTGTGACTTGAGGAAAAAATGCAGATGTATGTCTAAGCTGTGATAAGGATGCTCCAAGTGATCCTGAACAACAGCAACCCAAAGCACCTCACCATCTTTATACCATTTCCCATCCCCATTATCTCCCTCAAGGCCACATCATCCCCCTCCATCTTGGTAATCCCAAAAAAGCCACCGCTGTAATCCTTTCCTCCCTCTCCCGATGAACGCTCCAAAACCACCAAAGAGCAGAGCCACTCGAGCATCGCCAAGTTCCCACCGTAAGCCGTCTCCACTTCTCGGCCGACCAACATTACGAATCGCCAAATGCAGTCTAGTCTCCGTCCTCTCCTCCGCGCTGTCCCCACTCCGCCCCGAGACCCGGCCGAGTCCCGGACTTGCCGCACCTCTCAAAAGTCCGAAACCGAACCCGGAGAAGGGGTACTCCTCGTTCGCCCAAACAAACCCCCCCCCTCCCCCTTCCCTCCCTCTCTTGATGCAATCTTTTTTAGCATCTAAGGAGGGACATAGCTAGTTATCCACCAAACAAAACAACTGTGCTCCCCCAACCAAATCACACACCACCACCACCACCACCCCCACCGCCAATCCCCGCTACACCCCTCCCCTCCCCAGTTCCCAAAAACCCAAACTCGTAACATTTAAGGGCGGCCAAGCGAACACTTCCCTCCCCCCATGTCCCCTGCCTCACAAATCGCCCTGCCTTTTTCCCTGTCCACGGTTCCCTCACCTCGGCGCTCGGCGCTCCGAGCTGGTAAACGGGAAGAGCAGCAACCTCAGTCCGTACTGTACATCATCATCCCCGCTTCCCCCGCCCCCACTCGGCCGACAAACACTCGCACACAGGGCACTCACGAGCAACAACATGTGGGCCCGCCCAAACCTTCCTCGACTTACACACACACAAACAGGCATACCTCCCGCGGAAGCACCGACATCATGAACATCATCATCGTCACCATCACAACACAGAGATCAATCAAAATAGCCTCAGCTTTCTTCCCGAATAACCTTACAGACGAACAAAACCCAATAAAGAACAGCAGAGGTGAGGGAGGGGCGTACATCCAAACGGTTCAAACGGCCCCCCTCAACCTCTCTGCTCCCTCTACCTCTGCTCTGACGGCGAACACAAACCGTCGATTCCGTCATGCGTCCCAAATCTCTTCTCTTCTTTTTTTGTTGTGCTGGTAGCCAGAGCCGTTCGATGCTTTTGCTGACCTTATGCTGACATCTCATCTCCAAAAAACTCTCCTCAAAAACCGGACATGGGACATCAAATCGCATTCCACCTTTCCTCACCTGTACCCGTCCGCGCAACTGACTCGGGAAAGGCTCGCCTACATCCTTTTTTTCTTTCTTTTCCCGGCCGGTGCTATTTCCGCTCCGAGCTCCGCGTGAGTTTTCCGTCGGTCCGTGGAAGTTGGCGCTTTGTAAGCTTTTTACGTCGGGCGGTGCAACTCACTCACTCGGCCGGTAGTACTGAGCTGTCTCGGCCGATACAGTAAGATCATCGGACATCACGGGTGAGAGGATCACGCGATTCGGCCGATACACACAGCGTGTCTCTCCGTTGCTCGGATCACTAGTTTGCGCCGTGAGGATGATCATGATCCTTCCTGTATCGGCCGACAAGCTGAGAAATGCCAGGCTGGCAAAGTGGCTTGCAATAGTAAGAAAATGATGTGTATAAGAGAAGCGACCGAGTTGCTCCCCAATCGTCTCCAAATTCTAGCATCATCAACTGAGCTTACACGCACCTTTCCACACCAAGCTACTCCCATCAAACACACTATTGTCCCCCATCGTCAAAATGCACTTCCTCATCCTTGGCGCAACAGGCCGCAACGGCTCCCTCATCCTCGCCGAAGCCCTCTCCCGCGGACACACCGTCACCGCCCTCGTCCGCACGCCATCCTCCTCCTCTCTCCCCCAACAACCACAACCAAATCTCACTCTCCTCCCCGGCAACCCCCTCTCTCTCCCGGACATTCGCACCGCCCTGCAAACCCCCAGGGCCCCCGATGCGGTCATCGTCGCCCTCAACCCCCGGCGCGTTTCCGACTCCCCCTTCGCCGCGCCGCACCCAGACACTCCCGGCTCGCTGATGCACGACGCCGCCCGCAATGCCTTGGAAGGTATGAAGGCCGCCGGCGTACCCAAGATCGTCATCAACAGCATGCAGGGCGTCGGCGCCAGCAGCGGCAGCCTCATCATGCCCTTCCGCGTGCTGTTCGAGCACACCAACATGAAGTACACCCTCGACGACCACCGGGCCGTCGACGCGCTGGTCACTGGGAAGCAAGGCGAAGGCGTGGACTGGGTGATGGTCCGCCCGCCTATGCTTATCGAAGGGGATGCCTTGCCCGTCAAAGACTACGGTGATGACGGCAAGGGTATATGCTGGATGCCCAAGATCACCAGGAAGAGCGTCGCAGTGTTCATGGTCGACGCCGCGGAAAAGCCTGATTGGAACCGCCGGGCGCCGGTTATTGCGAACTAGTCGGAAAAGGTCAGACGAAGTGGTAGTCCACTGAGTTAAGGTCAGAAAACGTTGGCTGGATGAGCCTTGTATAATGTAATGCTTGCTTGGGAAACGCCACCCATGCCCTCCCTTTCTGGTGTCCTCCGCTGCTTTGGTATCGTCGGTATAGTAATATTTACAAGTTTCTTTCGTATGCTTTTTCCAACCCGCCGGGGCGTTTTCGTGTTTACTCTCTCCACTGCCGGGATGGCCTTGGCCGCCCATTCCCCAGCATCCCTTTCCTTCCTTGCAACGCAGTGCAGAAATACACTTGTTGTGAATTATGTCTGCTGATGTTGATGCTGTATCGGCAGATGTGCTCGGGTCAAGTAGAACATGTGATCGGTGATCGTATGGAGACAGCGTCGCAGGCCATCGCTACTCCGTCCTGCAACAGGCGCGACGATTCCGTTATTTCTTCCAGATT